CCTAGGGTCCCATCTATTAAATTAAATGAAAGCCGAGTTAAGTTCATTTCATTAAAAAGATGTAGGTTTATGCTAATCTTAATAAGCCTTTGTCACCATGAAACATGCTAAAAATATTGCTTGTAAATTCTTATCTGAGTAAAAAAAGGAAGATGTAATGACTCATGATTAGAAACTTTATTAATATTTTTAAATTTCATTACTTCAAACAGTGCTGCTTCGAACCTTATCAATAACATTTCAACTTGACTTTGAAAATATGAGATGTAATAGATTTTTAAACACAGAAAAATGTTGGGGAGTAAGAGGATGATGACCAATAAACTAATAAAGAGTGTCTGTAAATTAAGATAAATGTAGAACGACATGTGCCCATTTAGACAGGGTTACTTTGAGTTACTTGAGTTCGATCGATTGATTGAGAGAGAGAAAGAATGAGAGAGAGAGAGTTTTATAAATGGGAAAAAGGGTTTCCTGAAACAATTTCCACTCTTGATGATCTTTTATAAATAAAAAAAATAAAACTGCTGCAGTCTTTGCTTGCTGAGAGGACTGAGACATCATGGGAGTGGGGATTTCAAATTGTTTTGTACTTTTTTACAGTTTTAATGTCAAGTAGACAGACGTTCGGTTAATTGTCATGTCTACGAAATTATATATAACAAACGAGTGAACATTTGTCAAAACAAAAGAACAATAAACGGTAACTGAAAACATCGCAGCTTCGAGGGATAAACAATAGTCATGCATTCACAATATACCACAAATCACCGCTTTGTGACCGCTCAGTATTTTGTCTTACTCAAATATGCAGTGTATTTTATAACAAAATTATATCTTTAATACAAAATCTAATCTTACATAACTAAAACGACAGTAGGACGTTAACTTTTATATATATTTAATTTAAACGTAACCGAATCATTTCGTAGCAATATATCTGAATAAAAAAAAAAATGTAGGTTGATTCATAAGAAATATTTTGGACATAAGTTTGACTTAGCTAAGACCTTCCTAAGTTCGTTTTATGTTACGGTTTAAGACATACTTAAGTATTACTTAGACAGGTCCTAAGATTGTGCCTAAAACGTACTTATGACCCCACTTTAGTCGAAAACTTAGCAAGCTTTATGTTACAAGACCAAGGGCTCGTAACATAAAGGGTACTTAAGTCTAGAACTATGCTTAAGTAGGACTTAAGTATATTCTTGGGCTTAAGACCGTAACTAGAAGTGTGCTAATATTTCACAATTTAAGCAAGACTTAGGCGGCCGGTAGAGGTGGAGAGATGTCTTAAGTACCATATACAAATATTTAGAATAAGATATTATTAAACCCCGGCATTAAACATATTCATGAGAATTTTATTTTCAATAAACAAGATTAATATATATATATTAATCTTGTTTATTGAAAATACATTACAGTGAAGCAAGGTTTATAATTTTAATTATTTGTTCATTAGATTAATTTTGATAAACATTATTCATCGTACAACCTAAGACTGTGGTGCACACATTCATAAGTTACAATAGTAATTGTATTGGAATTGATGCTTAATACGTCATATACACTACTCACTATAAGTAAACAATTGTACGAGTATGGCAGCCTTATACGTGCATTTGAGAAATATTAGAAAGAACAGGACATTAAAAGACAGAATGTTTCTTGGAGAGTCAGGGGACGAAGAATATCTTATTTCAAGATATCGCCTCAACAGAGATCTGATAAAGTTTGTGAGTTTGTTAGACGCGACGTGGAACACCAAACAAAGAGAAACCACGCATGGAGTGTCTCTATTTTATCATAATAATTGATATATTTAACTGATCAATTATCAGGTAAATAAAGTCGTTTCAGATGATTACTAATTATTTAGATTATAACTACGGATACTCATTGTTAAACTTTATAAGTATGAAAACCTGGAGGACCCCCCCCCCCCCCAAACTGCATCCGTTGCTGTCACGAGTGGTCCATCACTTTGTGTTTTTTAAAAAAGTCTTGTCCCTTCCACATAAGAATATCCTTATCTTGAGCATTTCCAATTTCAAAGAGAAATAGAAATAATTCATTACGAAATATATTATTACCTGATTTGCAACTAAGTAATTCTATCTCTATTTAAAAAAAAAAATACTTGTCTTGATTCATGTTTCATTTATAATTTATAGTTCAATTATATAAATATATCTAAACTCTAATCGAAAAGTAATTTCCAACAAATATTTTTGACTTAAGTTTGTCTTAGCTAAGACCTTGCTTAGTGTCTGTTTTATGTTAAGGTATAATACTGACTTAAGTAGTACTTAGGTCCTAAGAATGTGCCCAAGTCCTACTTATGACCCTACTTAAGTCAAAATCTAAGCAAGCTTTATGTTACGAGCCCCAGATCGTAAAATGTGGATTATTCCCTAAAATATGTGTGCATTGACTAATCGTTGTGCGTAACTCAAGTGTTCTTGTTATCAAAAATGAAAACACAATGTTCAAATAGTAATTTATTACTGAATATTTACATCCACTGAATATTTTTTTCTTTTAGTTTTTTTATACAAAATTTTCATTAATCAGACCTTAAACGACACTAAGCAAGTCAGATTTCTTGAACAATGGCTGTTCCATCAGTTATGCACGCAATTACACGTCTAAAATACAATATTTTACATATTAATTTTTGCTTTCAATGTTTTTTTTCATGAAGACCTTAATGTAAACAATAAAATGTCTTTGTTTGCTAGTACGGGAATTGAGGTCACAGTTATTGCTAAAAAAAAATTATATAACAAGCTTTAAAGTTTATGTATTTCTTCTGCAACAGTGCGTTATCAATTCCAGTACCAAAAACCAAAGAAAGCATTTCATTTTTTAAATAAACGAGAGGTATTCTGAACACCGAGTTTATAAAATTTTGCCCCCGCCTCACATATGATAATTTCAATATCAATGTTTTGATATGGGAGATCCCACAGTAAGTATGCGATCAAAAGATAAAATATGAGCTACACAAAGGCACTATATGATAATTAAAGAAATTGAGAAAGTAGCATTTTTTTTGTCGTTTAAAAAATGACAATTTTTTAAAAACAATATGTATTCTGTTATGAATTTTGAAAACAAACAGAGATGCCGTGTTTCCTTGGGCTACCAGTGAGGTTTTAACATCAATAAATATTAAAAAAAAATTGAAGAAAAAAATATCAAGCACAAATTTCATAAACAATTAGAATATCAAATACAGTATCTTAATATTATCAATCATTTCCAAAGCAGAAAAAACCAACTTTTTTATGAGAATACTAATCAATGCTTTTAGTTCGCATTGATAAAAACTTGAACTCATTAAACATGTATGTTTCAATGTCTTACAAAAAAGTTTGTCATCCAGGTTTACTCAAGATCTTTCATTCTTTTCATGTGACCATGAATTATAGACCCTGCTGTGATTATAGGTAAATGAAAATCGTTCGGAGCTAAAATACACGTGTCGGGAAAAGAACAGTGTAAATTTTCAATCACAATGGGCCAGAATGCAATCTTCCCTACTACTATTATATATGAATAAGTATTTTCCAACATGAACTCTTTGATTTCATCGAAAAGTCTTAAGGTAAGATCCTGTAATAATGAAGAAAGTCTTTTGCAAGACACAACAAACCAGTCTTCACTTTCAGACAAAAGTGGTCCATTGTCACTTACAAATTTTGAGAAATCATATTTACTCAAAATTTTGTCCTTCTTATCAACTTGAAATTTTATTCTTTGTCTCGACTCTTGAAGTGCTGATTCGGTTAGTTTACATTTGTGTTTCAAGCTGTAAAACAAATTCTCCTCATCAATTAGATTGTCTAAATCGACTCGGTTTATCTCTAACTGTTCACTCATTTCTGAAAGATAGTCCTCTGCAAGGGATTTAGGACTCAGTGTCAAATCTCGTTTCTTTTTCATCGGTGAAACAGAAAGGGTTTCCAAGACGATGGCTGACGTTATGTCTGTAAATTCAACTGGAAAACAAAATACGATTGACCAAAAAAGGTTCAGAAATAGGAAATTGAATGACTCTTATGTGTTATTTACATGAGTTTAAGAAACATTTGATTCTTTTACGAAGAGAATATTAGAATATTCACACCCACTCTACCCACCCAAAGGATAGCATAAAAAACATGGGATTATTGCAATTATAATAACAACATCTGATCTGAAATTTGAATTCTATAGCGATTTTTTTATCTTAATTTTATTTACCTTCACTTTGTACAACAAGAATTCTTTCTCCTCTGGAAAACCGTACAGGTTTCCTGTCATTTAATTTATTCACTGTGCAAGAACCATGCTCACAGTATCTCAAAATAGCTGTTTCACTACTAAGTATGCAGTAGTTTTCTATCTTTTCCTGTGAAAACATATATATAATATGTTATACTTTTATGTTAAATACTAAAACCTGATTGATTTATATGTATTTAACAATTTGTAATCTTACCCTCGTTGTTAACAACACACTTGACAACGGGTAAAACAACGACAATGTCACATTCGTGCAAAGCATGCATGTAAGGTTAACAGTGTAATTCTCAAAACAGCAGTTGTGCGTTGAATGAAGTCATATAAACTTGACGCCAAAAAATAAAAGCTTGTATCTGATGTAGCTTACTTGAAAACAACAAACGACAGACAGAACATGCTTTAGAAGTGCACAAATAATGAAATCTTACATGATAAAGGAGTCTTTGAGTATCAAACAAACAATAATAGGTAAATGAATATTTTCCAAAGCTTTCTTATTGAGAAAAATAAAACCGGGAAAGTTGAAAGCTTTCTAAACTTGAACGTATTAAACGATCGACGAGTTTTTTGCTGACATCAATGAGACATTCAGTATAATAGAATGGATTTTGCCTGTTTTGGAGGGTCATAGTTGCAATATACTCCCTTCAGAAAACCACCGTCAACCTCCGCTGACGCGTCGGTTGACAATGGTTTTCCTTGGGAAGTCAATTTGAACTGTTACCCTTTGAAACAGACTCTATCTCTATAATATCATGCATTACTTGGTCTAGATAATCCAAAAGCAGCTTTTCAGAAGTGGAATCCCATGGGGGAGGTAATGAGAGAACCCATAAAATTTCGTTTTCTTTGATAGTGGTGTTTCTGTCTTCCAAATAGCTTAAAACCCTGTTCCTCCAAAATTTAACAATCTTTGTATAAAATGTTGAAAAATGAATCGTGCTTCCGTCCTTTACCTCCATTGTAGAATGTTTTAGCAAAGAAGCCTAAAATCAAGAAACAACATTTTTCAAATAAAAATGCATAAAGAATCATACCGGTATATTTTAAAATACTGATGATACGAGGGGTGATCAAAAAGTTCGCAAACTAATTAAATAACTTTTAAAATATTTTTCAAAGTTATATTTTGAGTTTATTCTTTTTCAAAGTAGGCCCCTCTAGCTTTTATGCACCTTTCCCATCGGTTCATGCGCGAAACACGTGATCCAAGCCATCAAGTGACATGACCCTTAGCACCTTGTTCACAGCAGTACCAAGATCTTCCCGGGACTCATATTTTTCTCCCCGTAGGTTATCTTTCAAAAATTGGAAATAGCCAGAAGTCACAAATTGCCAAATCTGGACTGTAGGTGGGATGAATTAGGTTTTCTATACCCAGTGTTTCCATGGTGTCCATCACAACCCGACTTTTATGGCTGGGTGCATTATCATGGTGCAGAATGAATCCAGTTCTTATCAGATCTGGGCGCTTTCTCTTTACTGCTCTCATCAAATCTTGATTTGATTACCGGTGCATAGTAGTCCCCAGTAACTGAAGTTTTGGGTAATACCATGTGATTTAGAATTATGCTGTTGATGTCACAGAAAACTATGAGCATAACCTTCCCTGCTGACTTGGTTACGCGTGCTTTTATTGGTGATGGCGAGGAAGGATGCCTCCAAATTGAACTTTGTTGTTTACTTTCTGGCTCATAGAAATGTACCCAAGTTTCATCACATGTGATGATTCTATTCATGAAATAATTTTGTTCTTTTTCATATCTACTAACGTAGGACCGGCACGCATTCACTCTCACCCTCATTTGCTCTGGCAGAAGGAGGCGAGGGACCCATCTCTCACAAACTCGCTGCATGTTAGGCTTACTCGTTAAAATCTCTTGAACTGTTCCATAAGACATGCTAAGATCATTAGCTATTTCCCTAATCGTAACTCTTCGATCTTTCATTACATAACCTCAGACACGTTTATCTCGGTACTTACGTTCAGCGGGCACCCAGATCTATCATCATCTTTCACCGTCTCCCTTCCCTCAATAAAACGTTTCATCCACTTACTTATTGTACCTTTTGAAAGCCCACATTCCCCATAAACTTTATGTAAATCATCGTATATTCCGTGAAGGATTTACCTAGTTTTACACAAAATTTTATTGTAGTCCTTTGTTCAAGTACGATTAACTCTTTCATTTTCGTCACAGTCGCCTCTATATGGACGTCATTTTAACATCATGACGTCATAATTATGACGTACATTTCGACATGACTCATACTGCATAAAGCACATGTTAAGGGCTATATTTGTGACAAATTTCATTCTTGTCAGAACTGTAGTTAGGTAGATAGAGAATTAATTTCCGAACTTTTTGATCACCCCTCGTATTTATAGAAAACAGAGAACACATTTCAAGATTCCAGTGAATCCTTCACAAACACGGTATATAAAATATAACCAAATGCTTAATTTACATGGATATATATATTGTGATGAGAGAGAGAGAGAGAGAGAGAGAGAGAGAGAGAGAGAGAGAGAGAGACTTACTGTTATTTTCATCTTCAAAAATGAACAATTTAAAACTTCCTTCCTATCGTTTTCTATGTGTTCAATTTCCTCCTCCTCTTCTGCATATGTAATGTCACCATTTTTAATGTGTAGAACGGTATTTGCAATTGAAAAAACATAACTGATTTTCAAAGGATTTCTTTTGAAATCGTGTAGAAAGGACATGGCAGCACAAGAATGGCTTGTTCCGATGACGATGCTTGCGACAACAAGAATATTCCCCTTACCATGATATTTTTCTTCATTATCATCGAGATATCCGATTTTAATCCATTCTATAAAATAGATTTATTTCTCATTTTCATATGCATTATTCTCAAGGTAGGATTATTCCCACATTTTTTGTATTTAAAAATTAATGAAATATTCACAGAATCAAGAGAACAATATCAATAAGTGATGGTATCAGTGAGATTAATTAAGACCGTTTAATATTAGAGGCAAGGTCAGGTCAAGGTCACTACCTTTATCCTGGGCATTAAGAATAAAAAAATACTGTTTCCAATCATGCGATCACTACTTGTAATTCAAAGGATTAATTTTTTTTTCTTTTTGCATGAAAAAATGCCATATAGGGCCCATAAGATGATATTACCAAACTGACATGGATAATTTAAATAAAATGGATATTTGCTAATCCGAATTTCCTCTTCTTTTCTTAAATTTTAAGGATTTATTAGTTATTTTTATTTGCTTCCTATATTTAACTTTTTTTTAATTTTCACATATAGTAAAATTTTGTTCGTAACTACGAGAGAAATAACACTTTATACGGATTTTTGGCTCAAATTTGTACTTAGATTTGAAGCATTTAAACATAGTTCTAGTATGTGTGACAAAATCGTATTTATTTGATATATTTTGAAACTTAAGTCCTTTATTATTAATTTAACTTACATATGAAAATTTCGTCTAGTTTTGATTACGTAAAAATTATAACTAAATTCAATGTTCTATAATAATTTTGAAAGACAGAAAAGAAGATATTTTCATATGCCACCATTCCGCCAAAAATATAGTCCCTGCTAGTTTTCAAACGCAACTTACCATTTCTATTCAAAGTTGTATAATTGTGATGAGGAAAGAAAAATATGGTCTTTCAAATCTCTTACATCTAAATATGTAAGACATATCATCAAATGTACTTTGAAAATTCCCTCTAGTCAGAAACCAGAGAAGAATCCTACCTAAAAAGAATGTTTGTATGTTGTTTTACGTCCAATTCGAGAATTTATTTTTATCTATATAGGGTTGTCACCTATGGAGGCATATTTTTGTACCCTACATGCAAGATAACTATGTCAACAGGCAAGAAAAGTATGTAAACATTCAAGATAATTTTTTCTACATGCAAAGAATTATGTAAACCTGTAAGTTAACAATCTTATTAGAGAATATAATTTTGATGTGGGTACATTACTCACCAATAATAGTATTTTAAAGGATACTCCAAGATTCAACATAATTGTGTTGAAATTCGAGTTATTTATGCTATATAAATATTATGTCAACATACAAGTTTTTTATGCAAAATGCAAGATATTTATGTCAACATGCGACTTATAACATGTATGTTAACATGCGAAATTTTTTTTGACAACATTCGAGTTATATTTTAAATTGCAACATGTTTATGAAAACATGCAAGATAATAAGTCGCATATCGACGTAAATATCTACCATGTGACATAATTATCTTTCCAGTTGACATAAATAAGTCATATGTCTTGCATGTTGACATACATTATTCGCATGTTAACATAATAATCTTGGATGCTAACATATTATTTTCAGTTTCATTTTGATTGTATATATCATACCAGTATAATGGCTTCAGTAAGTAACTTTATTAAAATAATATAAGATTATCTAAAGAGATTGTTAAACGTTATTAATTTGCATGTTGGCATGAATAAGTCTAATGTGTTCATGATTATGTTGAAATTATGTATACATATTTAATAATAATAATAATAATAATGATAATAATAATAATAATAATAATAATAATAATAATAATAATAATAATAATAATAAAAATAATAATAATAACTAGATACGATCTCGTTGCGAGCAACGAGTGGGTCTTCCGTCCAATTCTTGATAAGATGAGATAAGATTTTGATTGAGATTTTCATTCAAAAATAATGATTTACCACAATCTGTAAAAAGACATTGAACATTAAAGACTTAAAAATCGGCTTTTGGCCCCTAACGGCCCCTAATTTTAGGAATCAGCCCTTTTTCTTCATATCATCTTAAAGCTCTAAGGATTTTGATCACTTTTTGTTCAACAACTGTTAAGAAATTCTTTTAGTTTTTTGAGCAATTAGCAAAAGAAATATTTAGGGGCCAAATCTTCAACTCCTTAATGGAGACGTTTAGCAAAAAATGAAAGGTTGCATATGTTCAGAATATTATTTTGAACATCTTTTGTTCAATACTGCTTATCAAAATATTCCTTCCTTTCGAGATAGAAAGCATCAAAGATTTTGCATTCTTGCCCCTTGTGGCCCCTAATTATGTAACATACGACATAAAAATTATAATATATAATTGTAGATGGTTGAGATAAACATCTTTGCTTCAGTAATGTATTACAAAATATTAACTTATAAAGAGTTATTGATTGAAGACTTTTGGCCCCTCTTCGCCCCTAATTCGAGTGCCGAGCCCCTTTTTTAGGATCTCATTTTAACGATCTTAAGATTTTGAACATTTTTTGTTTAACAACTATTCAGAAATTCTTTTTCGTTTTTGAACTATTAGCAAAAGAAATATTTAGGGGCCAACCCTTCAACTCCTTAATGGGGACGTTTAGTAAAAAATGAAAGGTTGCATATTGTTCAGAACATTATATTGAACATCTTTTGTTCAATATTGCTTATCAAAATATTTCTCCCTTTCGAGATATAAAGCGTCAAAGATTTGGCATTCTGGCCCCTTGTGGCCCCTGATTATGTAACAAACGACCTAAAAATCATAATATAAAGTTGTAAATGGTTGAGATAAACATCTTTGCTTCAGTAATGTATTACAAAATATTAACTGATAAAGAGTTATCGATTGAAGTCTTTTGGCCCCTCTTGGCCCCTAATTCGAGTGCCCAGCCCCTTTTTCGGGATCTCATCTTAACGATCTTAAGATTTTGAACATTTTGTGTTCAACAACTTTTCAGAATTTCTTTTTCGTTTTTGAGCTATTAGCAAAAGAAATATTTAGGGGCCAACCCTTCAACTCCTTAATGGGGACGTTTAGCGAAAAAAGAAAGGTTGCATATTGTTCAGAACATTATTTTGAACATCTTTTGTTCAATATTGCTTATCAAAATATTTCTCCCTTTCGAGATATAAAGCATCAAAGATTTTGCATTCTGGCCCCTTGTGGCCCCTAATTATGTAACATACGACATAAAAATCATAATATATAATTGTAGATGGTTGAGATAAACATCTTTGCTTCAGTAATGTATTACAAAATATTAACTGATAAAGAGTTTTCGATTGAAGACTTTTGGCCCCACTTGGCCCTAATTCGAGTGCCCAGCCCCTTTTTCAGGATCTCATCTTAAAGCTCTTAAGATTTTGAACATTTTGTGTTCAACAACTGTTCAGAAATTCCTTTTAGTTTTTGAGCTATTAGCAAAAGAAATGTTATGGGGCCAACCCTTCAACTCCTTAATGGGGACGTTTAGCGAAAAATGAAAGGTTACATATTGTTCAGAACATTATTTTGAACATCTTTTGTTCATTATTGCTCATCAAAATATTTCTCCCTTTCGAGATATAAAGCATCAAAGATTTAGCATTCTGGCCCCTTCTGGCCCCTAATTATGTGTTGGCCCCTCTCAGCCCTTTATCTGATGAGTCAGCACATTTTTCTTGATATCATATTAAAGATTTTTATATTTTGCACAAATGTTGTTCAATATGTTATAACAAAATAACTATATTTTCAAAGATATGATGCAAAATGTCCCAAAAAATCACTCATAAAACGTGTCCTAAATTTTGACCCCTACCGAGCTTCCATACTAGGCACTTCCGGAAAAAATCCTGACCATGTTGCAACGTGGCAACATGTCCTCTATCATCACTAAAAATTTCACCTTTCTAGCTTCAGCCGTTTTTGAGTTCCATCACAGACAAGGAGGTCCTCCAAATTTTGATCAAAGGGCGATAACTTCCGACCGGAAGTGAATTTCAAAAAAATGATTTGCCGGAATTAACTTCAGATGACAACGCATCGACCGTGAAAATTTGAAGCAAATCGAACGAGCCATCTCCGAGAAATCTTCTGCACAAATTTTGTAAGAAGAAAAAAGAATAAAAACTAGATGAGATCTCGTTGCGAGCAACGAGTAGGTCTTCCGTTGAATTTCTAGATAAGATGAGATGTGATTTTGACTGAGATAATCGTTAAAAGAGAATAACTTTAAGTTTTCCTTCATTAAATTTAAAATTTCTCATTTTTATCAGGGTATTCTGAACATCTTTTGTTCAATAAAGCTTATAAAAACACTCCCCCTTTTTGAGACGTAAAGCATAAAAAATACAGCATTTTTTCCTTGCAACCCCTAATTACGCAACATATGATCAAAATTGTATCATATATTGATACAAATCGTTATGATGAATAATTTTGCTCCAGTAATGTATAACAAAATATAGATCATTAAAGAGCTATAGATAAAAGACTTTTGGCCCCTCTGAGCCCCTATTTTGAGGGGTCAGCCCCTTTTTCTTGACATCAAATGAAAGGTCTTGTGATTTTGAAGATTTTTTGTTCAACAATTATTCAGAGATTTCTATTCGTTGTGGAGATATGCAAAATGGAAATATTTAAGGGCCACTCCTACAGGTCCTTAATGGGGCCGTTTTACAAAAATTCAAAGTATGCATATTGTTTAAAACATTATTTTGGTCATCTTTTGTTCAATATTGCTTATCAAAATATTCCCCCTTTTCGATATATAAAGCATCAAAGATTTGATATTCTGGCCCCTTCTGACCCCTTATTACGTAACATATGATCAAAATTGTATCATATATTGTTGCAATTCGTTAAGATAAATACTTTTGCTTCAGTAATGTATAACAGAAAATTGATCATTAGAAAGTTATAGATAAAAGACTTTTGGCCCCTCTGAGCCCCTAATTTGAGGGGTCAGCCCCTTTTTCTTGGTATCAAATGAAAGGTCTTATGATTTTAAAGATTTTTTGTTCAACACTTATTCAGAGATTTCTATTCGTTGTGGAGATATGCTAAACGGAAA